TTTCTTGACTTCCTTTTTTCAGAACGAACGTTGTTTATGTTTAGTCTTTAAGTCATATCTCCATTTGTAAATCTGTCAAAACTACAAAAAAAACATGCTTGGGTTCCCCAAAGACAGCGCTGCTGAATTCACGCCAGACGCTATTTTCGTTCCAAGTTTTTGAGGACGCTTTGCAAGTTCATAACAGGATGGGCTGCATACAGTCAGTCCTCCTTCCAAGTTCAGTCAAGCCACGCTCAAACAGAGCCGTGTCCTCTTTTAAATGTGTGCTCCCTGAATCTAAGTATCAAAGTGTTGACTGTAACCGTAGCTCTGCGTGTTTGCATTTGCCGGAGATAATCTTGTCTGCTTGCAGTAGGAGCTCTACCTAGCCCTGTTCTGCGCCTGTTATTCGATACTAGCTCTTTCTTTGCTGGGAAGAAAAGCTCGCCTCTTTCCCACGCTCCTTGAGCACGTGGTACTGGGGCTGAATTGGACTCTGAAGGCCCTCCCTCTATTGAGACGTCATGCTAGTCCCGCAGAATCCCCGGCCAGTGACTCTCCCCCCACCTCTGCGCTGGCTGATCTTTGAAGAGCTTCAGGCCAAATGCCTCCGCGCGGCTACCAAACACCAAATATTTTCACTGAATGTGACGGTTTGATCAGTCCAGGGTTAATCTGAAAGCATTCTGAGGTTTAGATGCCACAGAGCTTTTATGAACCGTATTAATCTTTAATGACGTCGGGAGGAGTTTTTAGCTGGCTCGCTCTCGCCGGCTTGGGTTTCTGATGAATGTGACCCGGGCCCAGGTGGGAAAATGGGACACTTCCTGTTAAGTACTGTACATCTGAAATGGCTCGCAGGATATTCTCAGCGTCGGCTCGATTTGCAGCTCACCGGCATCTCATTATAGCTTGTAGCTTTGATGTTGACTGTGAACTGTGATACTTTAAATTACCGTTCAGGCTTGGTTTATATGTGTTGGGTATGTATTTAGAAAAAGGATAAAGGAATAAAATTTCAAAAAAGTTTTGAAAATATTTATTGAAGCAGGGTTTCTGCTGGTCTTATAAAAAGATCTTTAAAAGTCTTAATTCGCCCTAAATTAAGGCCAAAAAAGGTCTTAAATCACAACAGAAAGTCTTAAATTCATAGTCATGGCATTAAATGATGCAAAAAAAAACATTTTTTTTGTTTTTATTGTTTTTTTCCAATGCAAATATCTGAACATCCTTAAATCAAGAAACGTTTACTTGAGATGCAAACTTGAATGTATGATGTCTTGTTTTCTGAGAATTTGAACAAAATGAAATGAGTTCATGCTTAAAACAAGAACAAACATCTGTTATTGGGAAATGAAAATCCATTGAATTAAGTTGATTTTTCTGAGCCCATTGGCAGGTATTTGTTCTTGTTTTGATCATAAACTCACTTCTTTTTGATACATTTCTCACTAACTTGTCATTTTGCTTCTCAAGTAAATGCATCTTGATTTAAAGGGGTCATATGATGTTGCTAAAAAGAACATTATTTTGTGTATTTGGTGTGATCTTCTTTATGCACCAAGAGCTTGTAACACTCCAAAGAAAAAGGAAAAATTGAAATCGCATCATATGACCCCTTTAAGCATGTTTAGGCATTTTCACTTGAAACTTGAACACTTCTTTTTGCAGTGTGACCAGAAGATACAGTCAAAGTTATTTCCATATTCTAGTGGTTTGGAGCAGTGTTATTCAATCCATTAGCTTCTTCTGCTTCTTATTCTCGTAAAACGTATTAAAAAGTAATGGAGATCCGTTGGAAGTTGTATTTTCAAACTTTGAAAAATGTACATTTAGAGAAAACAGACATATTGTGTTCCATTTGAATTTATTACTTAATTTTTCCTTACTTGGTCTTAAAAAGGTCTTTAAATGTCTTAAATTTACAATTTCAAAAAACCTGCAGAAACCTTGTGAACCCCCACGCACACATACACACACACACACAAAAAAATCTGAATTATTGCATTCGATACAAAGTGTAATCTGTTCTCAAATGTTGCTACAGCTTTTCTCTGAAACTTTTCTCTCTTTTCGGATTCCGTTTTGCAGTGACGTTTATGAACTGGTGTTGTGGTGATTTTTATGAAGTCAGTTCTCATCAAGTTCACACAGGTGTCCCATCAGACTAACCACAGGAGTAGTTTATCAAATTAAGATGAACATGGTCCACTAATGTTTGACAACCAAAAGTGGCACAGGACTTTTTGTCTTCATTTTGAACAGTATCTACTGATTTATCATCTAAAATAAAAAAAGATAACATACAATAAAAATGTAACCTTTTTGGCTTTTAAAGATGGCACAATCATTTTTTTTCTCCCTCAGTAGATGCCATTTAAAATGCCATTTTTCTGCGGAACACAAAAGATATTCTTAAGAATGTTAGTAACCAAACCGTTTCGGTTCCCTTTGACTTCCATTGTATTTTTGGTCCAGACAATGGAAGTCAATGGAAACCAAAACTAACATTCTTAAAAATATCTTTTGTGTTCAGCAGAAAAAAGCCATACACGTATGGAACAAAAAAAAGTTCATATTTGGGTGAACTATCCCTTTAAGTGAAAACTTTGTGGGGCCATGCAGACAAATCTAAGTACCAGAAATTGTGCAAATTCCCGTGTTCAGTGATAACCAGCTACTGGGAGAGGCCCTCCGTTTTCTCAACAAATATTTTCCAAAAGGCCAGCGCACGGGCACATCTTTCTGATTAGCCAACAGATGTGCTGAGATATTTTAGCCCTACCCTGGCAGGTCTTAAAGAACACTTCTGTTTCACACATGGTCAAATACCTCACAAGTGCACATCGCTTCATTCTTTTAAATGATGGGAACGTTTTGCACGGAAAAGAAAACAGCTTTATGCTTTAGCCAGCTGAAGTATAATTTGTGAGCGAACTGAAATGCCTGAAATTCAGTATTCGCACATGCCCAGCAGGAGATATTAAAGAAGGATATATGTTAGAGGAGAAAAGACAAATAATTAATAATGTGCACGAGTTATTACTTCCACATGTTAACCCAGTGTTTATGTGTGCAAAGTCTGGTTTCACGTGGTTTATTTTTGAGTTTCATGTACAAAAAGAATGTTAACATGAGAACTTGACAGCCGACTCGCAACCAAGGATTAGTGAACTTCTCCAAAGCGGAGGTGAAATTTTACCCTCAGTTTTTAATTTTTGGAAAAAGACTGCACAATATCCCATAAACCGAGCAGAGACCCTTTTGTATAAAACTGAGTGTTGCATTTAAAGCCAGAACACGCATACACAAAATAGATGTGTTTACCTGCATTCTGATGAATAGGCCTACTTTACACATTTTAATTTTCCTTTCTTAATTTTACATATATTTATTGTGGAAAGGCAATGAAATAGGTGAACGTCTTTGTTAACACTGTCATTTTTTTTTTTTGGACACAATTTTACATTTATAGTTCTTGCAAACCCTTGGGCTATATATAGCCTATACTGACACAATTTTATTTATTAACCTACATTTCATTTGACAGCAAGTGATTATCTGGTGTCAATAAAGTAATTCTGAGTACTTTTGCCAGAGGTTATAACCAAACCAGTTAGGCAGAGGTATTTCATCGCATGTGTCTTTATGTAGAATAATACAATAATACAGGTAGTTGGGAATGTATAATTTCACTCAGAAACCTGTTTAGATTTGACGGTCTGAAATATGCATCTTAAAACTGCAGTATTTAGGAACTGTGGAAATAAAATGGTGACGATAATATAACAAACGAAAACTTGGTTGCTGTTGTCGTTGAATGTGTTGAATAAATGGCTCTAGTCTCGGGTATTTGTCCATTTAAATGCCAAATTATATTTGAAATAGTGTATTCTGATTCCAGAATCAGTTTTAAGAGCTTTTCAACGCGTCTCCAAACGTCCGGGCTATATGCAAAACTTAAGTCACTCCACTGCCCAAAAAAGTACGTGCAGTTTATAACGTAACGTAGCGGTTACAGTATATAGTGAAACAACAGTTTGGAAGATCAAATGTTTGAAGCGTCTGTACAGTATACAGCGTGTTTGTGGCTTTCCGCGCCAAACTGCGGCGTGTGAGGAAAGGCGACTGCGCTGCGCAGAAACTGCATTCGTCCGGTTCCCACGGTACAGCTGCTATGCGTGTCGCTCCGCTTCCTGCCCCGCGCATGCGCAGAGCCAGCTTTGACTTCAGAGCGCATGCTTGACGCCGAGCGCGACGCACAGCTCTGTTGACGCGCTCAGGAAGTCGCACAGGCGTTGTTATTGCCTTAAAACAGCTGGAAAGGCTGCTTCACAAGTCCTAAAGTCTATAATGGTTCAGAGTAACTTTTAAGCAACGTCAGTAAAGAAGTCATTGCCATTTGGTGTAGACCGGTAGGAAATTGAACTGCATTCATTGGACAATCTGCGAAGAAATTAATAAAAAGAAATAAGAATAATATATTATTACTTGGCGATAAGATCCCAAACTGCCTGCTGATTGCGTTTATGATGGCAAAAAGGCAAGTATATTTGTGACCCTGGACCTCAAATAAAAAGTCGCTGGGGTATATTTGTAGCAACAGCCAACAATACAATTGTATGGGTCAAAATTATAGATTTTTTTATGCCAAAAATCATTAGGATATTAAGTAAATATCATGTTCCAAGAAGATATTTTGTATATTTCCTAACGTAAATATATCAAAACGTAATTTTTGATTAGTAATATACATTGCTAGAACTTCGTTTGGACAACTTTAAAGGCGATTTTCTCAATATTTACTTTTTTTTCTTTTTTTTTTGCACCCTCAGATTCCTTATTCTTATATATCTCAATTTCAAAATATTGACCCTTACGACTGGTTTTGTGGTCCAGGGTCACATTTATGTGTAACAAAATTTTGATCAGGCTCTGAATAAAAACCCAACCCAAGCCTTATCTTTCATGTTTTTGTTTATAAATTTTTTCCCCCTCGAATCTGTACCATTTGGTTCGCCGAAGAGCATATTAACAGATAATAACGCAGGCGTTTTATTACTGGGATGTTTGGGCACTGGGCCACGCCCATTTCTCAGTTTCCCCGCTTGGTCACGCCCCCAAGCCGACTCCGCAGCCAATCAACGTCGCCCAGCCCTCCCATTCCACAATACTTGATTCTATAGAGACGTATTGTTATGCAAACTAGTTCGTCTAAAATATCCCCCTGGCAACGCAGCTCTGGGCAGAGAATCACCGGGACCGCGCGACGGACAAACAGCAGCGGGCAAGCGTCAAATTTTGGAGTCACTTCTTCCCGTCCAAACGTCAAGAGTAAGTACATCTTTACTCGTTCACGTTAAGAAGCCGCTACTCGACAGCGTGAAATAGTGGTTTTAACAGTTTCTCTGTTTATTTCAGTCACCCTTGCCAAATAAACCACCGCGGGACGCGAGAGACGCATTTCCTGAGGTAAATGAACGTTAACTCAGACGTCTCTAAAAGCTAACGGCCCTCGATGCGCTTAACCGGAGATACAGCCGTTCACACGCCTCCTTTCCCACACTAAATAACTCCATATTCTGCCATAACCTGGTGCTGCTACTGAGAGACACTTACACACACACACACGGAGAATTATACTTTTGTGGATGATTGAACTTTCTCGCTAGGTCTTTGGATATATAGCCACCGACTGCATTTGCACACCAAGTGTGTCGTTTACTTGTCCTTTTTGGGATATACGCTCGCCTAAGCTGGTTTTAGTCCAGTCAAGCCGCGAATATCCCAGTACTAGAGACTGTAAAGGCGGCTGAGAGCATCATGAGCCAGGCGGATATATCGACGTGCTCGGCGCCGCAGAGAGTCTTCCAGGAGGCGGTGAAGAAAGGCAACACGAAGGAGCTCCATTCGCTGCTGCAGAACATGACCAACTGCGAGTTTAACGTGAATTCGTTTGGCCCCGAGGGACAGACGGCGCTGCATCAGTCGGTCATCGACGGGAACCTGGAGCTCGTGAAACTGCTGGTGAAGTTCGGAGCCGATATACGGCTGGCTAACCGGGAGGGCTGGAGCGCGTTGCACATCGCCGCTTTCGGAGGACACCAAGACATCGTGTTATACCTCATCACCAAGGCCAAGTACTCCTCCGGCGCGCGGTGATCCGGTAGAAGCACGCGGAAAGACCGGGCTCGTTTCATTCTAGCGTTGGATCTGCCAAGCTCGAGTTCCCTTGTACCTTAAAACCAAATGAGGGCTGTAGCCTTTTTCTTTCCCGTGTCAGATCTGGCGATGAGAGAATCTGAAACGCTTGCTGTTTGGGATGTGCGTTGGTACTATAGCTTTTTATTGAATGTTTAAGTCATCAGATCTGCACTGTGTGGCTTTACCAGGGCTTGACCGGTTGACCTGGAGACATCGAGATGGCACTTGATGCTGTGGCTGAATGCTGGAATAGTTGCAAGAGGTGAACTCCAGAATGAAGGCCATCCTCTGTTTTGGCTAGACACTGTCTTTTAATACGAACCTTAAGTCGTTTCATCAATCAAATCTTGTGGCATTGGTGACCAGTGCTGAAATATGTCCTCGAAATAACAAGTGACTTATTCCTAAGTACTGTACACATAGCTTTACTGTGTTCTTTCTCTGTACAAGTAGTCTATTCCCTCTGCCTTCACCTAGCAGACGGCTTCCACACAGCTTTCAGGCCAGTGCGACCCACGTCTATGGTTAACGTGTTACTAAAAACCGCTGCTTTCGCTTTTTTTTTGTATCAAAACGTCAGGAAAGTCGCCTTTGGGACACACTTTATAATCTTCTTTCAGTATTTTGAATTAACACCCTGGTCATCACTGTGAATACAGGTTGGGTTTGTCTTTTTATTTATGAAGGTACATTGAGATAATGCATTTAAATTATGTTGTGGTTATTTTTAAGACTATAGCCTAAGTGTAAAAGTATGTAGGGTGACCTAAAGCTGCTTCGGACTCGTTACAGGCTAAACTGTCCCGTGTGGAGATTCCGCGCCACGGCCCCCCACGTGTACACCTTTTTTCCCGGGAAAAATGCGTCCCCTTTTATCCTGGTTCTCTGCATCAGCTACCTCGACTTGAAAGTATTCGAATATCATATGCTCTCTTTCTCAAGCCTTCTCCTTAACTGTGCTCAGTTACCCACTAGTGCTCGTTTTTTGGTCAACAGAATCAGTAGGCTCTGTCCAGGTCGTTTTACTTGATGTTTTCTTACGGTCATCCTCGTTTTTTGTTTTACAATCTTCACTCGGGACAATTTATCTCCTTGAACCAAAATTAAGATCCATTGGTTATTCGAAAAATTTTTTTTTCTTTCGTCAAGCGTGGTTGAGACATTATATATGTAGGTTTTATTTCAGCCAATTGCTTAATTTTTGCGTTGTCATTTTTGGTTTATGTTGTAGTTACAAAAAGTGCATTGCATGACTATTAAATGCAGGGAGTTTTGTTGCACATAAATGTGGAGCCTTTTACGCCCCCTAGTGCCTGGTCGGGTAACTGCAGGAGCTGAGGCTTACCAATAGTTACTACTGAGCAGGACTATATGAACATTGAGAAGAAGACTATGACTTCTGTTGCAGGAAACATCGACAGATTCGTTCAAAAAAAGACAGCCTGCCGCCTTTAAGAGTCATGGCACCTGATGTTTGTTTCAATGCTGCTTTTATGTAATTTTTTTTCTTGATACAATGGCCAACGGTGAGTGAACGAGGACAAGTATCAGTTAGATATATCATTTTTTTGTCGTTGTTTTTGCGAGAAGCCCCATGCAGTTGTGTGAGTGTGTGTGATTGTACTCATGTCTTGCCACAGTCCAGTGGTGTTGCTGTTGTTTCCAGCCCCCGTTGCTCAACCTGGTTAACCAACCAGGAACTCCTCGTACCTGGAGATGCAACCGATGTGATTCTCACGATCATCTATTCGATTGGTATAGGCAGAACAAATATGCATCACTTGTCTTAAACTTGATATTTTTACTCTTGTTGAAAATATTGCACTGATGACTGTTGTTAATTCGTTGACTTCAGGTCAACATTTAATTTTTTCTAAATAGAAAAAAGGAACACAACAAAATACTATTGTATAAAAAAAGCTCCAGGTTATATTGTCTCTGTTTGTGCGTTACAATGTATAACATTACGTTTGCAAAGATGTTTGTATCTCTGTGATCGGGTGTATGTGTATACATATATAGTATATATATGGATATATAGACTCTGATATCTCAGAGCACTTTCTTATTTGAAGTGCTCTCCTCCTGATGTTAATAAAGGGGAATAATACTTGTGATGGTAAGATCATTGTAACAAAAATAAATTGCACGATGTATAGTTGTTGTACCCCACCATTTGCCATAACATTTATGACATTGGGGTTAAATGACTGGATAGGTGTATATGAATGAGTAAAAGAGCTGTTGTATTTTTTATTTTTCATCTTGTGTCTCCAGCGAGTGATGCGAATGTTCTTTTGTGTTGACTTCAGCTTTTCTTTTTCTTTTCTGTTTGTGTGTGTGTGTGTGTTTTGTTTTGTTTGTAATTTTTTGAACATTGGTAACACTGTGATTCATGTGTGGTGAGAATATGAGTGCTGTAATATTTTTATGTATGTGTGTGTGTGTTCAAGCCAGTAAAGAAATAATTAAACCTTCCTCAATGTGTGGCTGTGAACGGTTCTTTCTATCTCCGAGGAAGAATTTGGGCCTCCTCTCTGGGCCAACCTGACCCCAGTTTCCATTCTCTCCTTTTTGTCATTCATTTGGCCTAGTCCTTTCATATGCTGGATAAAGGAGTGCAGGGGGTTGTGGGTAATTTTGTTTTAAAGACAGATCCCCTCCCTGTGTGTTTGTGTGGGTTTTATGTTACAACTCTTTGCATGGAGCAGCTCTCTGCCCTTCTGTTCTGTGGGAGACTCAAAGCATTTCTTCATACATTTAAAAAAACACATCCGAGGACTTTAATTCTTCATCTTCTGATTCCATTCCACCTCAGTTTCTATTGGACGCCAACTCTGAAACATTGGCAGATATACATGAGAAATCAAGCCACGCTTTTGCTGCAATTCATGCTTTCATGAAACAAGAGTTGTACCTCGGTGAAAATTCAGTACTGCATTTCGGTTCCTGCTCTGATTTATTGGTGGAATGTCCAGAGTGTTCGTTTTTGAAATTCACAAATGAGCCAAAAACTTTGTCCGACATTGTCCAGAGGCCACGTTTATTGCAACCGTAATCCGAACCAAGCAAGTGCTTGCTGTTTTCTGCAGGTCGACAAGAGTTTACTGCATGCTTTTGAAGACAACCCTCACTAGAAGACTGTGACCTCAATGGCATCCATCTCTGTTTCCACCCCCCTCCATCCCCCGGGCAGGATGTTATTGTTGAGCTGGATTTCCATTGTCCGGCGGCTGAGTTGGCCACCTTCCCAGAGTGCAATAGAGAGGCCCCCTAATAGATTCTTCATGTGCCTCAGTCCCGACACACATCATTGCAGGAATTTGGAAATGAGTCCCGTCGCTCTGCGCGCTAGCCTTCCCCCACCGCCAGCAAGAGAGGGAGGGACGTGTAAACCCAACAATGTGAAAAAGAATTTTGTGAATGTACTTGAGAGCGAAAAGGAAACACGCTCCTCTTCTAGCTCTGAGAATGTGAAGTGGAGGCTTGGAGGTTTGTCCTCTTTTGTTTGTAGTTCGGTGCTCTGGAATGTTTCGTTTTCCCATACCTTTAGTGTTCCAGAGATCAAAAACGACCTCTTTGCACGGACAGATTCTTGTCAGCAGCTTTGCATACGTGCGCATGTAGTTCCAAAAAGGCCCCACAACATTGCTCGCTCTGGTGCAAGTACACACATGCAGAGAAAAAAGTGTTTGCGGCCATGAAAATCGTTGCAGATTCTCGGAAGGAGAGGAACATTATAGACAGAAGGGAATGAAGATGAATTATTGTTGCAATGGCTTAGACATGACCACAACTTTTACCAGGAAAAGATCCTTTCAAACACAGTTTAATCCAATTAATGCACTCATCTGCTGCTGGCAAATGAGCTGTAGTGTTAAAGATGTGATGAGTTTAGTGTTTATTTTTGTTGAGCATTGTTATATGTCAGTTTGACATAAAATTAGCAATATAATAATGAATAATTATGACGAAAAATAATTAAAATTAATTTACATGAAATGTACAATAAGATAATTAAAAAAAAAAATAATGAACACTTGATTAATAGCTATTAACATTTATATAAATGTGTGTATATATATATATATATGGGTCAAAGACGAAAAGGGTGTTTCAAGCATCAAAAAAATAAAAGTGCAATACAGCTTTAAGTTTTGTTTTTTCCCCATACATTAGAATGTGTCCTGTTTAAGTTTATATTTTTCTGAACAAAAAAAATTATTATCATGCATTTTTTACCATGTTTGACAGAAGACACGCACTAAAATGTCATTCAGTGTAACAATATTTATATACC